ATATAACCACAGTTTGAAAGTAGATAAGGGAGATTTTATTTAAGTGAGCTAATATAACTGTATTTGATCAGGATTAAACAAAGACTGTGAATGGCTATCCAACTACAGAAACAGTTTCTCCCTGATTGAACTAACCTCGTTATCTCCACACTGATATATACCTGCCACTGGAGATTTCCATTACTTGCATCTGAAGAAGTGAGGTTCTTACCCACGAAAGCTTATGCTCCCAGTACTTCTGTTAGTCTCAAAGGTGCCACAGGACCCTCTGTTGCTTTTTACAGATTCAGACTAACACGGCTACCCCTCTGATAATATACTAGTGGGAGACAATTTTCTTTTGGAGAAACTGTGCTGGTTATACCCTGTCACATCATAATCTTCCAGTAAATATTATACCATATTTAATTATAGTTTCAACCAACTAACGCAGTCTGACCCTGGTTAGCCCCTAAGTGCTGATGGGACCCACATGTTAGACATAGGCGGTCACCTTCACCTCACAATGACTTGCTCAAAAGGAGCGTCTCTTACCTGAGCACTTTCTTGTAAGGCTTGTTGGGGTCTCGGTAGTAGGGAACAATCCTGGGTTTGAAGTCCTCATCATTCTGGCTTGACCTTCCTCCAGCAATGGAGTCCTTCTGCATTTTCCCAGCAAACAGCCCATTATTTACCCCTGTGTCCATGCAAGTATCCTCCCCATCACTCTGGATCCAGGAGACACGCAGCAGACTTAGACTGCATCCCAAGGAGAGGCCCAGGATGAGTGGCAGAGCAGGCCGCAGGAAGGCAAGGAGAGTAGCCAGACGCATGGCAGAGCTATCATGAAACAATATGCAGAATCTTCAACAAGGAAGTATCTAGAATCACAAAAAATCTGAACAAAGGGAGATCTAGAAATGCACCAGAACCTGAGAGAGCTAGAAAACAGTGATCCAGTAGCATGAGAGGCACGATTTCCCACTTAAAGGCAGTAGTAGGCCACAGATCTAGCCCAGTCATGGGTGTGTAACAATGTCAGAGATAAACCATAAAGTTCAGAGAATTTGGCAATATGGCTCATGTTGAAAAGAGAATTAAATGAGCCCCAGGTAGTGTCCATGCCTGGAGATGTGGAGAGTCATTCCCAGCTCCTTGACAGGTGAGGCAGAGAGGGCTTCAGCCCTGAGATCTGTGAATCCAGTCAACTCCAGGGACTTCAAGATACAAACACTTCTCACATGGGATGGAATCAGAAAGTTTCCTGAACTTCCAAGTACAGTAGCCTTAAGAGCAGAGGGAGAAAGAAACCAATGCTCAGGTCCCCTGGAATAACATCTGGCAACATGAAACACTGACCCTTTGCAGCTGGTGGACAGTATCTCAGTGATGACTCAGGCTAACAGCACAAGAGCCTGTCCCACCTGCTTGTTTCTTGGTTCCCAGCTGCTGCACTTTTGATGGTCCCATCCAGGCTACCTAAAGAGAGGGAAACTGAACAGCCAGAACTGCAGGATTGAATCTGCCTCAGTGACAACTGTGCAGACTCAGATTAAGGTTAGGATACCCTGAACTCCAGAGCTGGGATTACCATTCACCCCCTGCTAGAAGAGAGGTCAGAGGCTCCACTTCTGAGACAATGCCAGGGAGATTGGCCAGTGCTTCCTGCAGTAGGAAAAGAGGAGGACCTTAGCAGAGGGACATGGGCTACAGGGGATTTTCCCCTTAAGGTACAAGTTCCAGTGCAGCCCCAGGCTCGGGGGACTGGCTGGGTGAGGATATTGGGCTTTCTACCCCTAAAGCCTATGTTCCAGTGCAACTCTTATTGAACAAATGTGTTCAACATAACGAGCATCAGCACCCAGGCCTTAGCTGGCAGCTTCATCAGAGAGGCAAAAGGTGGACTAGGGCCCGGAGAAAGCGTTCTCCTTTTTTCCCCTAGAGCTCCTCCCAGGCAGGGCTGAAGCCCATCGGCCAGACGCCGTGTGAGGAGGAATTGGGTCCTGCTGAGGCCTGGGCGATATGCAGCCCTGGCCCTAGAGAAACGTTCCCGGTTCTGCCCTGAGAGGGGGGCTGGAGGAGGCCCAGTCTCACGGACACGATGGGGCCGCCCTGCTCCAGCGAAGGATGGGAAGCGAGGGGCTCGGGAAAGCTCTGCGTGGCCCCAGCCCAGCGCCTGGCCTCCCGCCTGCTGAGGACTTGCCCTGCTGGGCCGCTCGCCGGTACCTGTCAGACGCTCTCCGCGCAGGAGCCCAGGCCCGGCGCCGCTCCCTGCCTGACTCGCCTCACACGGGCGCTGTGTCGGCCAGGCGGCAGCAGCCCTGGGGGCTGGGTCAGGCTGGCATTGCTCGTGTCCGGCCAGCGCTCCGACAGCTGCCAGCTCAGCCGCCTCATGCCAGCCCCTCTCTGTCCCCCCGGCGCCTTCCTCTTCCTCGCTCTATGGTCTCTCGCTTGCCGCTCTGCACGCCGAACCCTGTCCACTCCTCCGCGCTCTATGGTTCGGTGCGCATGCGCATGTCTCATCCCCAGAGCCGCCGCTCCCTCCCCACGCTTTGTAGCCACGCCCCATCGCCCTCCCGATCCCGCGGCTGCAGTGCCCCGCCCACTCGTGCAGCCCTGCGCTGGGGCCCGGCTCGTGCTTGGCCGCAGCGCAGCCCGCGCCCGGGTCCCACCGCCCCGTGCCCAGGCAGCGCCCTTGTGACAGCCGAACCCGGGGCAAGGATCGGCCATGAGAACAGCCCTAGTGACAGCGCAGCGGGGAGGGCGGGGCGAACCGTCCCGACTCCCGCCCCATGGGCCGATCTCTGAGGTTTAGGTGGCTTCTCCCCCGGGACCGTCCGGGAGCAATAGCTCCCATCGCTGCCTCCTGCAGGGGCCCCTTGCTCTGCCGCTCCCGAGACTGTCCGTGCTGGCAGCGTCGGCATGAGATGGAACACTGGGCTGATCCCGTCAGTTTGTATGTTCCAGGCCATCATTCCTAGTACAGGAGTCGGGGTGGGGGGGCTGCTATTGCGAGCAGCTGCGGCTGCCCTGCAGATTGAGAGAGCCCCCCTGAAGTCTCACAAAAGACAAGGAAGAGTATGATGGGAATGGGATCTTGACAGATCTACACTCAGCAGGAAAATGCCCCATCACAATTTGCCAGCCCCTGTTTCTTCCTTCTCGATGCTATCTCCCGCCTCTCCAAGGGAAGACACTAGTTCCATCTCCAAGTTTTTACTGTAAGCCTTTTGGGGGCAGGAACTGCCTTTTGTTTTACGGATGTACAGCACCTGGCACTGTGGGGGGTCTGGGTCCATAACTAGGGCTGGTAGGCACTAAGCTAATGGAAATAATAATAATAAAGCAATGACAAGAAGCAAATACAGACTTGTACCTGACCCAAGAGGTATCAATCTGCTGTCCCATATGACCCCATGTGGTAACCCCCTTCCACTGAGATGTGGGGATCAGCTCCCTATGACCCCATCCTGGGCATGTGTTACCCCCCCCCCCCCCATGGTGTGTGACCCAATTTTGGGTTCGTGTTTCCCCTTTCCCAAGGCATTGCCCTGACACCCACCAGCATTCAGGAATGATCAGTTTTACGTTCATGAGACACTTTTCCAGGAGGAGGAACCTGAAACAAGTGCCAGCGCTCAAGAATTTTTTTTATTTTCAAAACTGACACGGCGAGCCCGGAGGTGCCGGGCTCTGAACCGCCAGGCCCGGAGGCGCCGGGCTCTGAACTGCCAGGCCTGGAAGCGCCCGGCTCTGAACCGCCAGGCCCGGAGGCGCCGGGCTCTGAACTGCCAGGCCCGGAGGCGCCGGGCTCTGAGCTACGAAGCCCGGGGGTGCCGGGGGTGGGGATGCTGGGCTGTCTATTGGGGAGTAGCCGCGCGGCCAGGTACTCCATTTCCCAAGGGCCCTGGGGCTCGGCGCGGTGCATGCTGGGAATCGGAGGCCCGTCTGGGCCAGTCTCTTCTGACTCTATTTCCCAGAGTGTCGTGAGGCCCGGCGAGAAGTGACGTTTCACGTGGCGATTGGCGGCAGGGCCGGAGGGGGCGGAGCGTGCGCACGCGGTGGCAGCTGTTCTGTTGCGACAGACGGAAAAGCGCGGAGGAGCCGGGCGGCTGGTGAGGCGCGCGGCGCCGGGGGGAGGTTGATTGGGCCTTACCGGCATCCGGCCGCTGCCTCCGGGCGAGCTGAGGCCCGGCCGCCGCCTGGCGGAGCTGGGGGTCAGCGGCGGCCCGGCGCCTCCCGGCCGCTGCTCTGCGAGATCTGGGACAACAGGGCGCCCCTCACCACGGCGCCGCGCCGCTCCGCCCGGCCAGCAGCCGGGCTCTGGCCCTTCCCAGCGGCCGCCGCGCCCTCGCAGCCCGCCGGCTGCCGGCCACGTCCCGGGCTGGCCGCAGCTGAGGAGCCGAGCGGCCGCGCCGATTGGGGGCCCTGGCCCTTGTCGGGGGGCTGCGGGTCACCTCGGAGTAGTAGGGGGTGATGGCCTCGCTCTGAGCCCTGAGGTGGGAGGACCCGTAATCCAGGAAACTGCGACTAGGCCAGAGTGAAGGGGGTGTCAATTGGGATGGAAGTCCCAGGAAAGGGACCCAGCCCCGGGGTCTGTGCCAGGCCTTGGCTTCTCTCTAATGGGGTTCTTCCTCCTCTTGCTTTCGCAACTGTACTAGAGCGGTGACCTGTAACCATGCCCTCTGACCTGGCCAAGAAGAAGGCAGCCAAGAAGAAAGAGGCAGCCAAAGCTCGCCAACGGCCAAAGAAAACCCCAGAGGAGAACGGGGATGCTGAGCTTGAGCAACAGGAGATGAAGAATGAGGAGGCCAATGGGACAGAAGGGTCAGGTGAGAAAGGAGCATCCTGTGTTTCCTTTCCCTGGGTAGCTAGGCTCATCAGGTGCCTCCTAGCTCAGCACCCTCGGTGCTGCCAGTGCTTAATTGCAGGGCTTGGTTGCCTGTACATGTGCTTCTGTCTCAGGAGCATGTAAGACGACAACAAAGACTGATAGATAGCAACGGTGCTGAACTGGATTACGCTAGTAACTAACCCCAGGGTATTAGATCTCTATCAGTGAAAATATCTCAGGTCCTTAGCTCATGCTGTACCCTGATAATACGCTGTCCAAAACCGCCATCTATATCTAACTGGTAAGAAGGCTCCCTCTATTTCCCTTGGACAGTTATCTGGATGCAGTTCATGGGTTTGTCACACACAGGCAAGATTACAGCAACTCTTCCTACCTGGGTGTAGACTAGGCCTTGCCTACACTAAAGGGAAAAGTCGATCTCAGTGACTCAAATCAGCGTAGCTTAGATCTACTTACTGCAGGGTCCACACTATGTGAAGTCGACTCTTCTCATCAGGTGGAGTACAGGAATCCATGGGAGAGCGATCGGAGGTCGATTTAGCAGGTCTTCACTAGACCTGCTAAATTGACCACTGATGCATCGATCGGCTCCTTTGGTAAGTGTAGACAAGCCCTAAGACCTCGCAGAGTAGCAACAGATGGTGCTGTTGTGGCAGCGTGCCACAGAAGCAGACGTATTGCAGATTTCCATGGCATACAGTTCCTCTGACCTGCACTGGTTCTCTGCTGCTACTGGAACCACTCTGGGGTTTGGGGTTTCTTATTTTCAGTCTATTGGCATATAGGCTTGAGCTGTATTTGACTGTCTCTTTATGGGATGTATCTGGCACACTAAGACTAGCAGAGTTTGGATAGCTTAATGGGAGAGATCCTTCCCATAGGGGACCATTGGCCTGGTATTCTCTCGTAGAAGAAACAGGGAAGATTCCTATCTTTGCTGTAGTGTGTTGACTTCACAACGTATGTGGAACAGGAGGAAACAGGATTCTTCTAGAGGTGGTGTGCCAGCAGGGCTGTAAACCAGGGCAGGGTGCAAAGCTGTCGGGGGTGGAAAAATGACCGAAATAAACATTAGGGGGTGCTTGCTCGACCAAGGTGCTAAAATGCCTAGTTACATTTCTGTATGCCAGGCAGTCATGGTACCAGAATCCCATGGAGTAGGCTGTACCTGTAAAGGATTCTTCTTTTCTGTATAGTTGCCTGGGACCATCCCACATCTGTGTAGCATGCAAAGAGATGCTGGGGGAATAAATCTGTTAGAGGTACCATCGTCCAGTGGTCAGGGCACTAAACTGGGACCTAAAAGACTTGGATTTTATTACTGGCTCTACCACTAACCTGCTCTGTGATGTTGGGCAAGTCATTCCCTCTCCAGTCTCTTCCCCCTTCCATCTTTTATTTGTCTGGCTGACCAAGCAAAGTGAGACCTAATGCTCAATGGCGTTTCTGCCTGTCTGTAATGTGGTACCTTTTGAAGACCACATCCAATCAATTCCAAAACTTCAGGGAATGTTCTGGGCATCAGTGAGAAGAATCCTATTGATTTTGGTGACAGTTGGAAAACCCGAACATCTGAAAAGCCTGATTTGCACACAGTGCCCCCTATGGTGCTGCAGGCAGAGGAACACCTTGACATCGGAGGTAATTCAGCCAGTCATTACTCACCAATTGATTTGCATACTTCAATCCCATTGGGTGAACTGAATCAGCAATGAAACTGCACTAAACATGGTGATTCTGCCTACTTAGCTGAGCAAGTGAGCTGCCTCTTGTCCTGGGGAACAGTGCTGGGGCAGGGGGAAGACCCCCACATCATTTTGGGTGCTGGGGGTGGAGTGAGGGCTGCTATGGGGACCCTGGGTTAGTCCTTGTCTTTTGGCCTGTCTCCGCACGCAGAGATAGATGCTTTGACGAAGGAGCTGGAGGACTTCGAGCTGAAGAAAGCAGCTGCTCGTGCTGTCACTGGGGTGCTGGCCTCCCACCCCAACAGCACTGACGTGCACATCATTAACCTGTCGCTGACCTTCCACGGACAGGAGCTGCTGAGTGACACCAAACTCGAGCTGAACTCAGGGCGTCGCTATGGGCTTATCGGGCTCAATGGGATAGGTGAGATTGGGGGGTGCTGTGTGCATGTGGGGTGGGAGCTTCTCAGTGCTGGTTTGGGGAAATGATGCTCTGGGTGGTGAGCTGCAGGATGCAAAACTTCAGTGATGCCGGA